CCCCAAAACCCCAAAACCCCAAAACCCCAAAACCCCTTTATTCTCTAATCAGATTGAACCAAATGTAATTTAGGACAGAGGAATCTATGAGAAAGCTATTTATACAGTTATGAAATAACTCAGAAAAATAAAGACGATTATGTAAACTTAGATAGTTTATCAAAAGGAGTTCTTGGATTTTTGGTTGGGCCAAATCTCACAGTTTTATGATTCTTCTTCGGAATTGATCTTCTGATCTTTTTGTTACTGCTTTGCTTTGTTGGACTTTTATTGTGAGCATCTCTTGATGGAATTACAGAAGAGATAAGTGTCTTCAACTTTGGGTCAGGACTTTTAAACCTAATTTTAGAGTATTGTATTATACCTAATTATGTCTGAAGTAACTTTCAAATCTTTGAAAATCTGATTATCCTTAATTTTCTTATAAATACTATTCTTATAACTTCTTTCTTTTATCTTTTTCATTGGATTAAGGAAAGTTCTAAATCGATCTCTTATAATATTTTCTAGAATTTAACCTTCTTTGCCTACTGTGTTCATCTTGCTCTCATTGGTGATCAACGGTCTAAAGAAGGTTACTCTATACTTACATCAAGATTTTTCATCATAAAATCTAGTGCTTCGGTTTCAAATTTTCTCACAGTGTTATTTCTAGATTTTTCATATCTAGATAGCAATCTTTTGACAAATTTAGGGTTCTCTTCTGAAAAATCTCTTTTGCTTGATCTAAAATTATTTCAATAGGTAGTTACTTTATTTTTGCCTTGGAAGTTCGAGGTGACATGGCTAAAATAGTACTTAAAAGCATACCAAGAACTGTTTTCTGATGATTATCCCTTCTTTTGATCCTTACAGTTCTGTTATTTCTGGCTAAAATTCTTTTATGATTTTTCTTGTAAAAAGTATCTTTAGGATTCTTGTTTTCAAACAATCTTATTGATCGAGCGCTTGTTCTTCGACTATGGGTAGTTTCTTATCAGATTGTACCTTTGAGGTAACATGAACTGTTCATAATTAAATTCCTTCCTTATCTTGCCTGGAATTCTTCATTTTATCCTATGTAGAAATCAAATATGGAGAATACCTTTCAACTTTTCTCTTCTGGTCTTCTATCATTTTATGGAGTTTGAGTCTTTGGTATAATTTTTGGAACTTTGAAGTTTTACATTCCTTATTATGACCTCGCCTAGCAGTGTTACAGAAATATAAATACTCATTATGGCGGCTTTCATTTTTAAAAAACTTTTTGTCACCGTATACTAAAGTTGATGAGCTTTAGATTACGCTTATTAGGTGATATCAGCCTGCGTTCATTACTAGAGAAGACACTTTTCTCAGGATCAGAGCTGCCACTTCTTTTATTATCAGATTTACTCACTAAAGTATCTTAATATGCTTACTGCTAATATTGCTTTCATCTGAGTCTTCTTGCACACAGGTATTCTGGAACATTAGTATGAAAGGATTACTCCGATGTCGTCAAGTGGTTGTAAGAATATAGTCTGAGATTTAAAATCCTCCTCTTCAAGCGATCCCTCACTCTTATTCGGGTCAAAGGGCGCCAATGCTTTAGGTTATGCTTTAGACATACTGCTTTTATGAGTATCATAAAACTGCCCTGGATGCTGATGTTGGACCACAGATCCTCGCTGTTGATTAAAAATAATCCTAAATACCTTGTTTTCAAGCCGAGGATTCGGTAAATTTATGGTAATATTTGGATTATCACTCAAAGCATCCTGAGGGATACCAATTCTTGTAGGACTGTTATCAGATTCAGTCTTTAAGTTCCCTATCTTTATCATGTATTGCCCTGGCAGATTAGTTTCCTAATCGAGATGAATAAGACTGCTTTACTCTAATATCTTTGATTTTTGTTTTCTCTTTGCTCCTTTTCTTTGTAGAAATCCTTTTAAATCTATCCTTTACCCTTGGTTTTGAAGATGACTTTTTCCCTGTGAAAATAAATAGAATTCGAAGTAATTTTACCCTTTTGCTTCTTTGGATGAGGAGAGGATTTATCTCTAGATGACTTCTTCTGCATTTCTAAAATAACTTAAAAACTTACTCGTTTGAGCTACTTTTGATGAACCCATTCCTGAATTTGATGATTTTCTAATATTTTTGGAACTTGAAATTGAAGAGATTGACTGTTCTCTACAGAAATCAGCAGACGATACTATAAATTACAATTCTGAATTACTAGATTCTGATTTTTCAGAGAGATCTTGGTCATCGAATTTAATTAGTTAAAGGCATCTTTGGATCTGAAGGGATTATAGGAGGACCCAAAGAAGTTTCTATCATCTATTTATTATATAACAAATTCTTACAACTTGTGTTACTCCTAGGGTATCATTGTTGTTGTCTTTCGATCTAAAGGAAGAGCCTAGTTTTCCGATCTTCACATTCTCTAAGGGTCTTTCATTAGAGCTTTCTAGAAGTAAGCATAAAATTACTATTGCTTGAGTAACTGCTCATTAAATATCCTTGGGTTTTGATATTATCTTCTATTTTTAGCTTATTTTCGACTCTATTTTTAAGGATTTATGTAATTACTCTATCTCCACTAGATCATGATCCAAGCATATTTGGGTTCTTCATCCTGCTATGAGTTGCAACTGGGATAAAATTAGGCACTAGTTCAGGTTTTTGGCCACTATATCTCTTCTTCTCACCATCTAAGAAAAAATTGAGGTTTTAGTATTCTGCTTTCTAATGCCCTTCTTAATAATTTGAATTGTGTGAGATAGAGCCTGTCCAATTTCTTTATTTGGAACGTAAGAGTTATACTTTTTCTTCTTTCTATTTCTCAATCTATCAATCACCATTTTGAGTCTCTCTTTAGAGTCTTCATCATTCCCTAGGATTGCTCCAGCTAATGATGTCCATTGAGAAGATATTTTGTTCTCGGAACTTGGTGTAATCGCTCTATTTTATTTCTAAGTATGAGCCAAATTGCTACCAAAATTCATGTTTGCTAAGGTGGGACTTCTATATATTAATTTGTTTTTCATACCTTAGTTCATTTGCAAAAGCTCTTGTGTTCATCTTTTTCAAAGGAGATTTTATCCATGAATTGCCAACCAAACTATTCTTAGAACTTTCCAAATTATTTGAAGATTTGATCTGGCTCTATAAATAGTGTGTTACTATATCTTCCTTGAGCTAATATAGTCGACACATCACTTAGATGGTCTCGATTAAATGTTTACCTTGATAAATTTAGTCTTCGATCGCTATTTTATAAGATTTTAACAATTTACCATGAAATTTTTCTTAATCTATACAGATGACTGAGATTGCAGGTTTTGAGCCAGAAATCATTAGAAGTCTAAAGGAATACCTTTCTTGAGTCTATCAGTCTCAAATTTTTTCGGATCTATGTTTTAAGAGTCGAATCGAAGCAACTTACATTTGTGGTAGACATTTTCAATTTTTTATTTCTAAATAGGGGTTTTGGGGTTTTGGGGTTTTGGGG